CAAGGCGCAGCGTAGGCGATGTTAAAAACATTGTATGCTTAAAAGCATAGTATATCCACAGCTTTAATATTTAATTTTGTATTGTTTTTTTATCCAGCAAATCTCTTTTTAAAACGTTTAAAATGATATTATACGTCTCACAGCAGCCAACAAGTAATTCCGCAATGACACGCGATACAAAAAAATATGATGAAATATTAAACTGTATGTTGTACGAATTTAAAAAACATGTTCCTGCATTAGTACTTTATACGAAAGTATTAACTAAATTGTACGCATACAGAGATGTAGATTTCGTAAATTTTAAAACCATACGTAAATATTACGAATGCCTTCCTACAATATACAAAATTATTCGTACAGAGATTTGTTCAGTGCTTTACGAATGTGTTTCGTAAAATAAACGTAAGATTTCGTAAATTGTACTGAAAAAATGCCTTACGAAAGTCCTTTCGATATATTTACGTATAGTTCGTAAAATCTTGTTTCGTTGTGAAAAATGTGTTCGGACTATGAACGAAAGTTTCGTACATTGTACAAAAGCCAAGACTAAGAAAGTTTTTCGTAGCACTTTTACGAAATTTTATTTTCAGTGTGGTATATGCAACGGATTTGTGTCCTTTAGCGGCAGCACAGTTAAGCTGATGCCACATAAAACTTTTGCTGCGCTTTACGTGACAGATTCGCTTTTACAGATAAGATGAATTTTATAAGAATTCACCAAGCATGCCACATAGATCGTTGAAGCTGCAGCGCGAAGCGAAAAGATGGCCAACTCCCATCTTTTTGCGCGCTTTGACAATCAGCCGGATTAATACTTATTTTGTTTCGCCCAAATTCGAGTTTTCATGTAGAAACATAAAACTTAATCACATAGCTGATATTTTTAAAGCAAAATATATAAAATCCACAGCAATTTTGATGAGTAAAATAGCAGTACAAAATTGTTTTCTTGGCGTTCATTGTGGCATACCTTTTGCGTCTGGCGCTTTGCTGGCAAAGTTATAAATGTCACGCAAAGCTACAAAGTTTTATCTGGCATCAGCTTTAGTGAATCCCACAATCGTTACTGCAAACAACAAAATTTATTAGCTGACAACTCGACAAGTCGTATTGCTAAAACTTAGAGAATCGCACTACTGGTAATTTACTTTTTAATTCGGGACGCCAAATGATCTGTATTTCTTTTAATGTTCCGTATTTGCCCCGTATTCGGTATTTTGGCATCATTACAGCTCATAAAAATGGCATGCCTATTTTTTAATTTTTAACCGACTTCAATGCGTCGGAATATTTGTAAATATTTTTGTTATGTATGTTACCGAATATCTTTGGACCACGTCAACCGATTTCGAAAATTCTTGCATCGGAAAGGTAGTATCCCAGAGGTGGTCCCATAGTAATCTGGTTTAGATCCGATCATTGGATAAAAAAAAATTACTGTACTCCTAAATTTTTATATGAGATTTGAAGTCGGTTTTGTTTTTTGCTTAAAAATTACTTGTTATTTTTAAATCTGGACGCTTGTGATTCAGATCGAGGAGCACAGATGTATGAATCGAAATAAAACGTTAATAAGTATTGTTCGAATAAAAAAAGAAATTTTACTAGTATTTAGTTTTTAAAAGGGGTTTTCAATGCATTTCACGGTGAATATTCTGTGTGGAGCAAAGTATATTAAACAGATAGCAGCAGTAGAGCAGCTGACTTTACTTTTTCTGGTAATTTCGCCTTAAAATTGCCGGTTTTGTTTATATTTTACTCTCGAATTTCAAACTTTGTCTACATATATGGTTCCGAAACCAACAACAAAGTACACACAGCTTGCTGTTCTTTTTCGGGTACTATTACCTGCCCTATGTGCCCAATGCACTGTGGAGGAAATTTTCAAATTTCGTGAAGAGGGAAGATATTAATTAGGCGAAACTGTGCCAAAAAAATTATTGCTGATTGTATGAGGGATATTATCTTCAACATAAGAAGGCTACCAGGAGAATGTTGTAAAGTAAAAAAGTTCTCAAAGATGGAAGGGAACTGGAACACTAGGGATGGAAAGTTTTGAAAAATAATCGATTCTCGATTCTCGAATCTTACGATTCTTGGAATCGAATAATCGACGGCGAGATTCGAATTATTCGATTCTAATCGATTATTAAAAATCTATAAATATGAGTCTAAATCTATTATAATGAGTAAATTAAAACTATTTTAAGAAGAGCTTTAATAATAAATTTGTGGAAAAATTACTTCATTTCCTATAAAATGTGTGATTGAAACATATTCACGGTACTGTTTGATATGGAAAGGAAATAAATTTGAATACCCTCCTTGAAATTGTTTCTTTTCATAAATTCATTTCTAGCATCTCTATGAGTATGTGCCAATTAGTCTTACTTAATATTTATATTAGTCATGCCAGAAATTTCACAATTCTAACAACTGACGCGTATCTAAAGATGTATGGTAAATAAGAGAATCGTGTTCTCAGAACCGATTCTCGATCGGTTCCGAAAATCTATAATCGATTCACTAAAATCAATTATTTCGAGAAAATCTTCGATTCCGGAGTGGAATCGGAAGTAGAAGTTATTTCAGACTTAACTTCCACGAAGATACGGCATAACTTCCAAAATAATTAGATCGGCAGAGAGAGGAGTCCGTGGAAGTTATGCCGAAACCACTTTAAAAATAGTTGGAAATGCTTGTAAAAAATTTGTGTGGTAAAAATCCCGTGGACAGAGTACAAAGCTATGGAAAAATATTTTACAAATATGTGATGTTACAACTGAATATTTAAGTGCTGCTTTCACAAAAGATCGAAAAGGATGCTGTTTCAGGGCTAATAAATCTATGATCATCCTCTAGCTTATGTGGAAAAATTTGGCAAAATAAATTTTTGTCCCATATTCGGCTGCCATAAATATAGTCGCCGCACATATACCCCACAGAAATCAGATTCCTGCTCGGATGCCCTGACTATGTTAGAAATAAAAGGTTTGCCGTGCCATTAAGCGAATAGCGGCCAACAGCTGCGGAAGAGAAAACACAAGCATCCCAAGCAGGGTTGCCACTGACGAAAAAAAATATTTACCATTTTATAAAAAAAAAATTCAACTGGAGTTGTTATAAGCTGATACAGTGAATCAAAAAAGCGCTTGGTATTTTTTTAATATTCGCAATGTTTTTTAGGTAAATTTTTTCGCTATTTTATTTTTATAAGAATATTGTTTGCGCTTTAACCCCATAAAAATCAAGAACTCAAACTATTTACAACATTGAGAACAATTCAAAAACAATTCGTCTAAATACCGAATATTTTACTCTGAATTTTTAGAACCATTTCCGGAATGAATAGAAAAGTCGATTAAGCCATGTCTGTCTGTCCGGCCGTCTATCAGTCTGTCCGTCCGTCCGTGTACACGATAACTCGAGCAAAAATTGAGATATCTCAACGAAATTTGATATGTAGGTTTCCATTTATCCATTTATTTTATTTAAAAATACGAAAACTGCGATATTTTAGTAACTACTGAAGATTATTCACTCAAAATTGATATTTACAACAAATTTTAGACAAAAAATAAGAATATTGTAAATTTTTGGAAAATGGGCGTAGCCACGCCCACTTATGGTTACATGTGTATATCTTGGCAACCGCTGCACCAATTTCTTCCAAACTTGGCACAGTTGTTGGCCTTGGTACAGCATACCAAGTGGAAAGTGGGCGTGGCACCGCCCACTTATGATGACATATATGTATCTCGGTAACCGTTCTACTAATTTGTACCTAACTCCGTATGGTTATTGTGCTTGCCACATAAAAGAAAAACGTTGAAAATTATTGAAATCGAACTAAAATTACGGCCGCTTTTCATATAACGGTAAATTTCAGAAATTCTTGAAACTTAAATATTTCGAAATTTAGGGGCGCTAATTTACTCAAAATTGATACACCCTGGCTTACCATGTCGCGGTAGCTTTCATAAAGGTGAAAAACATATATTTAATACTTGCGCCGGGTATTTAATGTTCGGCTCCGCCCGAACTAAAGGCTCCGTTATGCATACTTGGCATTGCTTGAGAGTTGTCACATAAGGAATCTGTTAAATGAGCTTCGCGTGTAAGCGGTTACCCAACGCACAGCATTACATACGTAAAAGTCTGTTGCTTTTTGATTTCTACGTAAAAATGGTATAGCAGTGCATGCAATGCCAAGTATGCATAACAGAGCCTTTAGACTTTCTTACTTGTTAAAATTTTTTTTGTACAATCATTGCGTGTAAATACAAACCTGTCCATTTTTTCTTTTCATTTGAGGAAACATTTAAAATGTTTAGACAATCAAAAGCTCCTCAAGATTCCAGTAAAATGAGTTTTGAATGGAGCGCGATATATTCGCCTTTTATCGATATACATACTTACATATGTATGATGGCGTTCAAATTAATAGCAGCAAAATTCAAAATGATGCTGTTGGCAACTTATCTTTATTTATTCATTGTTAATAATTTTCATTTAAAATATGGGTCGATCTTTATCAGATACCACTTAAATAAAAGTTTCAAAGCTTATACAAATTTAAAAAAAAGTTAATATCAGAATCTTTAGAAAATTTTCGGGTATGCAGTTTTGTAGCCCATTTAATTTTAATATAATGAAGTACACGTTTCAAGTAGCTAAAGATTACCGTTGATTTTTAGAATTTTTTTTTTGTGAATGGTGTTGCGCATTTTCTTCCATATAAAAAATGTGCACTAAAGCGTTCGAAAATTAATGCAATAAAGAAGACTACACTTTTGGAAATAAATTTATAATATAAAGCAAACTACGAAATATAAAGTGGGAGCAAAATTTTATTTGGTTTTCGAACAAAATACTTTAACAAAAATCTACCAAAATGAGAACAAATTTACCTTTTTACCAACTCAAATTTGTTCTACCAATTTTGGTAATAATTCACCAAAGTGGCAACCCTGATCCCAAGTGAATGAGCAAACGGATGTCAATATTCAAGTATATTTATATGCTTGTGTGTATCAGAATGAAATGTAATGATGTTGAAGTTGACGAATGTACGAAATGTAGGCAGTTGAAATCGTAGACGATGATGGCGTAACATCACTCATTGAGGGAAGTGCTGCCCTATTGTTGGTGTTGCATTACAAGCGCTCTGCAAATAATGACAAAAGCGGCATTAGAAAAATTGAAAAATAAAAGCAAAAAATAGAATTTTTATATTACAACAGGAAACGTTGCGTCACTACCGGGCTATGCAGCTACCACCACCACCGACACTTCCCGTTGTATAAAAATTGCGCATTGGGTGTTTGCCAATCGATTAAAGGACCGCCCATGTACTCAGCGGAATGTATGTCCCTGGATGATTTTATTATGGCACTAATCGACTAATTGATGCGTGAGAAAAAACTCAAGTCCGCGCATTCGAGCATTTGCTGTAAGCCGATATTTTCATGTAATGCCACATGCCACACATTCATTACACTCGAATTACAATGCAGCACTCAGCGCACTGGGACTTTTAGTGTTGGGTGGTTGGTAGGGAGGCGAATAAATTGCGCGTATGCAAATTCATTGCCGAAAGTAGTCGCGCGCGAATGTGGCGTACACAGGGGTGTAGCAGCGCGTAGTTGCGAATGTCAGTCAATTTCTTTTGTCACTTGCTTGTTTTGCTAAAAAAAATTACTGCGGCGATGGGTAACATTACCACCAAAGCAGTTATGTAGTTAAAGTTTTGAAGCCGTCGTCCGGTGCACCCGTTAGCACATGAGCGCCCATAAATTGTGCTGCAATGTCATGCCGCGCGCCACACTCCACACTAGGGATGTTGCGAATGTGGAATTTTAGACATCCGCAGATGCGGTTGTTTAGACGCTAACATCCGCGGATGCGGATGCGAATGCGGATGTCATGTATTTTCAAGAAATAATTTAGGTGGGTAAATTAGGTCATTTAGGTAAATAAAAAATGAAAAGGTTAATCATTTTTAATAATCTGCCCTATCCTGAGTTTTGCCCGCAAAAAAAATTCACCCGAAAATTTGTATTCCGCCCATAGTAAATATGTACATGAAAACCAAAAGTGAAAAGTGAACCGGTTCGGGGAAAATTAAACTCATGATAAGACTGAATGATTTTTTAGTACTTGAATTTAAAAATTGGAACATTGTACTTAATAAAAACTTTTTGAAGGGTCATAAATCAAACCTGCGCTACTATATAACTACTCGCTCGAGGCGACAAACTTGAAAAACTTGAAACTTGGCAAAATTGTATATTCTCTTCGATTGACACTGCACCAGTTGAGAGGACTTTCAGTTATATTTATTGCGGTGCAATAATTACTTTTTGAGATTTTCATCGGGGCTGCAAATGTCGGATGTATCCTCCAGACTTTCATCTTCACAATCTAGCATCATGGCACAATCATTGTTTAAACACCGTCGTTTTCCAAAGAATTCTTCATTCTCATTCTTTTGGTTGTTTCGGAATTTGTCACGTCATCAGCGTTTTTTCGATTTTAGCTTTTGTAACTCATTTTTAATGCTTTCTTCTGTGACTGGTTACATATACGTCTGTGCTTGCACAATATTCCAGGGACCGAAAATAACAGTTATTTTTTTCCAAGTTAAATTTGGCCTAATATTTTTTATTCCGAAATAATCCGGATAATAAAGAAACCGCTTATCTAAATTAAACAAATTTGGTATCATATGAAAGAGAACTGAAATAGCTTTTAAACAGAAATACCGAATGAAGGTTACCCACTCTATTTATATTTTTAACCGACTTCCAAAAAAGGAGGAGGTTATCAGTTCGTCGGATTTTTATTTTTTTTATGTATGTTACTTTAGAACACGTCAACCGTTTTTGATAGTTGTTTTATATATATCTCATGATACACTGATCGGATCTTAACCAGATTAGTATGGGACCACCTCTACACTACCTTATATATATATATATATTTTTTTTTTATATGAGAATTGAAGTCGGTTTTTTTTTGCTAAAAATTACTTGTTTTATAACTTAATATTAAAGAAATTCATGTAAATACATACCTGACAAAATGTTTGTTCTATGGTAATTAATTAACATTTTTTATTGAAACTTGTTTAATTTGGATAAGCGGTTTGTTTATTATCCGGAAAGTACTTTTATTTCGGAATAAAAAATATTTGGCCAAGTTTAACTCGAAAAAAATAACTGTAATTTTCGGTCCCTTCAATATTCGCATTCGCAAAAGATCCGCATTGATTTTTGGGAATGCGAAAGCGAATGTTAAAATTAATGCGGAAGCTCCGCGGTTGCGAATGTGAATGCGAATATTCGCAACAAGCCTGCTCCACACGTAGCACTCGCATCACACACCACACGTAGCACTCGTTCCACACACCACACGCAGCATTCGTACCACACGCAGCACTCGCGCTCCCATTGCGTAATTGTTGTATTGGCTTTTGCTGTAATAAAACAATACTGATTGAGTGTACGTTGCAATTAATTTACTGCAACTGCTGTTCTTGTTAACGATTGTTATCATTGCTCGCAATCACAGACCGGTCGTGACCAGTGTTGCCACAATTTTTTTTTATTTTTTACCAAAATCCTCGGAAAAAGTTACCAAATTCAACAAAAAATTACCAAACTTATTTTATGTGCAGAACTGTACAAACATACATATCGAGCCCTAACCGTCATAATAACGTATCCGACATTTTTTTTAATTTTGAAAAAAATTTAGCCTACGTTATTTTGGCAGTTAGAGCTCAATACATATGTGTATCCGAAGATACCAAGCTTTTCAGGCAATCAGCGCTACATTAACCTAAAATTTTTACGAAAGTTTGTTGAATTTTTTTAAATATTGAACAAAGTTTGAATTTGTTAGAGCTCTGTTAAAGAAAGAAAAATATTTTTATAAAAAATAACCAAAATTAAGTTACTAAAAAAAATTATATGTTAAAACTTGTCAAAATATGGTGCGGCTATAATTTTTTCGACCACTGTATGTAAACAAGTGACAAGAAAATATATCAAAAATTCAACGCTTGAAGGAAAGCTTTCGACTCACGTATAGACAGAGTGAAGCCCCGCTGAATGCCGTAGCTTTTTGAACGAGAACATACGTATTGTAATTCAAAAGCTGACGAACTGACAGGGAAAGGTAGGGCCACGCAAAACCTTCCAGGAAAGAACACGGTGGATATACTTAGCAATAGCCACTTTCAAGCAGTTTGTTAAAGAACACACCATTTTAGTAGCCAAGGAATGCTGGAACAGCTTTCGCTTTGCCAAACTTTCAGAATTACCTGGTATTTCTATTAAAGGGAACGCTTACGGTCTACTTACTAATGTGGAATCAGAACCAATATTGACCTATTTGACATGTAAAACCGAATTGAAAAAGTTACCAAATTGAAAAATAAATTACCAAATTACAAAACTTGATAAATAAAGAAAAAAATTACCAATTTTGGTTAAAAATTACCAAAGCGGCAACGCTGGTCGTGACACAATCGCACTCCTTCGCGCTCCTCCTGCCCTCCGGTACATCAATTTTAGATTTTGATTACGACTAAGTACGCATATATGCTTGGAAAGTATGCTTTATTTTTGCCGCCTTGCGACTGGACCCCTTTAATGGTGCAAACGTACGTGCATTTAAATGGCGCGTGCTTTCAACCGGATATGCCTGATCGCGCATGCCAGCAGAGTCAGCTCCGAAATTCAGCAGTCATATTGTGAAATTGTGAAACCACACTCTTTGGAATTCTCGGGCACTCGTTCATTAGCTGTCAGTGTTGCCGTTTTGATGCATATACTATTTCAAAAGTGATACGTGTTTGTGCTAATTTTCGAAAGATACTTTATTTTTTCGCTCATTTCGCGAGATAGTTAAATTTTCCGCCCACTACAAATTTTGGTACATGACAAAGAGAAAATATATATGTATCTAGGCAATGGGAGCTTTTAAAATTTTATCGAAAATATTGAAACGATTTGGGGTCTAATAAGCAGGGCTGGAAAAAATATGCAAATGCTTGCTGGTTTTTGCATATACTCGACTTACGTTCATATTTTTGCATATTTGGCAACATTTCATACATTTTCGAGACGATAGATTCGTGGAAGTGCGCCTCATTCATACATATGTTTTTTATAATCCTGCTACCACCTTGTATGAATTTGCCTTGATACAGTGCAAGTATTCATACATACTGCTAGAGCTTGAAGAAATCCGAACAGGTTTGGCGTTTATTAAGGCAAATTTTGGTAGTTTCTTAGTAGGTATAACAAAGCTTTAAATAAAAGGTTTATTATATATAAAAAAATCAAACCTTGGCTATACTACAGTTTGAAAAAGACTAGCGATATTTTCGACAGTATCGTATTCTATCGTGTTGTATATGTAGGGAAACTTCAACTTCGAACAAAATATGTGTAAATATATATATTGCACATATGTAAGTATAAATATTACATCTTAACCGTGAAATTCTAAATATTTTCCTTAGTTCAATCACAAAATTTCAATGCACCGGCCCTACGAAACTATCGACTATCGCCCGAAAACAATCGATGTGCTTCCAAAAATAAAACTATCGATAGTACAATCTATAGTTTTTCAGTTCTAGGCTATACCACAATTGCTAATATTAGAGACATTTTATTTACTGGCTTCGCAACTAGGAGTGAAGCTCTATCGAAGTACTCCCCAGCAGAATTAAGTTTATTTAAAGTTTGTCCAAATATATCTACGGATGTGGAAAGGATTTTTCGAATTATTCAATAATTTTAAATGACCAGAGAAGGTCTTTTTCGATTGATAATTTAAAAAATCGTGTTATTTTATTCTGTAATTTCGAGATTATTGAATAAAAATATTGTAAAAATTAGATAAAACCTTATTGAATTAGCATATTTAAGAGCCTATTTTGGAGACTTATCGAGCTTTTTATAGCGCATATTTTCCGGTTCTTCTGGCATATTTTTGCGAGCACTGCTAACAAGCTTAGAGTATATTGCTTTAAAGGAACAATGTACAATAAGCTGATTGCATTCATTTTTAATCTACTTTACTAGCCTCGTAGATAGCTCTGGGGCTGCAGAGCGTATATTTTCAGACTTAAAATTGATCCAATATGAAAATAAAAATATACTTTCATTATAAACTGTTGTCAATATAATAGGTCTTATTCATAGTCAAAATGAAGTCGACACTGAAGGTAGTTTCTGCTTTTTGACAGTTTACAACGAGTTTAACGTGAAGTGTATATAAAATTTTATAATTACCGTAAACGATCCATAGCTAATAGTTTTAAGTACATATACATATTTGTATACACGTTTCTGTGGAATCTATATATACTCCTTTTGTTCGTCTTTATCAGTGTTGCCACTTTGTGAGTAATTCCTCAAAACGTGAGGAATTTCGGGTGTGCTTGAGTATTTTTTGAGGATTTTTATTTTAAGGAATTTTTGAAGAATTTTCTCTCGATATATTTGCAGATAACAAATGCAATCATGTTTTACACAAGAGAGTTGTTAAATCCCTATGTAAAGTTTTGAACAAGAAGCTTTCCGAAGCTTTATAAAGAGCGAAATACACTACACAAGCGGCTTGTCAAACATTCTTCATACCTACTTTCCCCCATTTCGCTATACACCACGCAAACATGACTCGTTCAAGCAAAGAATTTTAGTTTTCTTCTGGTTCACAATTTAAAAGGGTTTGGTTTTCTTCGATTTTTCTCTCTGGCGTCCTCATTCGGTAAAAATTCCATTGCGAATGAGGCGATTTTATCATACACAACGTAAGCGGTATGATCAAACGTCAACATGGCGGTAAAAAGTAAAAAAAATTGATTTTTTTATTCACATTTGCCTCAAACGGCTTGCCAAACCTTTAAACACAACATAATAGCTTTAAGGAAAGGGATATTTTTCTTAGTTTGTCAAGCCTCTTGTGTGGTGTTTTTCGATCTTAAGCACATCTGCCTTTGCTGCTAAATATTCAAAATTCCATCGTTATATTTTCAAATTATGTATTTTGAACTTGCAAAATCTCTGTAACAAATGGAGAGAACGCGCATTGTTCGATCATAAGGATATTCATATTGATTCTTCATTAGATCCAGAAAATTATAGGAAAACATTTTTTGAAGCAAAAGATTCTTCAGGCTCATATAAGTTCCCCAATTAAAAAAACTTATATCTGCATTGCCCTTTTCTAATGCTTCAGTAGAACGTATATTTAGTAGTTTAAAAAGTTGTAGGACTGACTTGAGGACCAGATTGAGCACTGATATAGTTCCAGTAATATTACATATATACAAAGAAAGGCATAAAAAATAACGGTTATACTTTGTTTGAACCTCAAG